TCAGAACTGTTAACGGGGAATTTAGATTATGAGGAAAAGAAAAAAGAAAAAGTCTGTCATGGGTGACATGAATGAATGGACAGGGAAGGAAAAAAAAAAAAATCTAAATTCCCCGTTAACAGTTCTGACGAGAGGGGACGAAACCGGTCGACTGTGTGTGTTTTATTTTAAACTTATCATGGCCTACAATACTACATTTCTAGTTTTTTATGCCTTAATATACATATATATATATATGCATGAGAGGATAATCTGATGTCGATAGGGCGACGTTGAACATATGAGTGGTCACCGCGATCACCAGACCTAACCCCATAAGGATTTTTTATTTAAAGAATGTACTGAAAGATCTTATTTGCAGGCTCAAACAAGAAACAGTTCTTGAATTAAAACAATTTCTTATAAATTTTCTGAAATATGAAATATAATATTAGAATAATATGAAAAGGTGTCAAATGGTTTGTAAAAGTGTTGTTGATACGGTTCAGCGTTGGCACGAATAGGAGTATTTTGAACATATAAAATAGTTCGTTATTCATAACAAATCATATTGTTTTGATGTAACGATGTTTATAATTTTTCTTCAATTACTGTAATTTATTTTTGATCAGCAAACATTAATCCATTACATTAGTTTAAGCTTGTTTACGATTAATGATGGCTTAAGCGTTCAGGAATAGTTAAATGTTAATTTTGAGCTGAGGTGGATACGATGACCTCACATCACCAGACGTTTTCTTGTCGGCTGTACTGAAAGATCTTGTTTACAGGCTCAAATCGAAAACAACTCCTAAATTAAAACAAGCAATTTCTGATCGACTTTCTCAAATTAATATAGAAATGTGTCAAACGGTTTGTAGAAGTGTTGCTGATAGGGTTCAGCGTTCTATTAACCATGAAGGGGTACATTTTGAACATGTTATATACAGTGTGATCGAAAAGCAACTCCCTATTTTATTTATTATGAACTCTCCCGTTTAACTATAATTTTTACAAAACGGGACGACTCATCTTACATAAAATAGGGAGTTACTTTTCAATCACCGTGTAGATTGTTAATCATAACAAACGTTGTTTAGACAATTCGATGTAGTTTGATAGTTATGGTTAGGAAGTTTGTTTCACTAGATAAATTACGACTGAATAGTGAGTTCGAATCTCACCAGGTGCTCCATACTTTCGACCTTATGCCACATGTAAGCTTCGCTTAGAATATTACCATAAAAATTATTGTTTATAAATTTTCTTAAACTACTGTGATTTATTTTTATCTAATCAAACTTAAGAAATAAAAAATTGCCATTAATTTTGCCACACCCTGTATATCTGAAGCGGATTTAATTCTGTAAACCAGCGAAGATATTTGATTCCTGATTATTATTTTTCGGTACAAGATTCTTCATTTTCGATATTATCGGATAGCAAAACTATTCAAAAAACCTCAGAAAACATCCTATGAACAAATTCATGAGATAACATTAGCAAGTTCCTGATTGAATGACACGCTCTGCAAAGGACACTTCAATATGAAAACAGACCCCTAAAGAAAGATAAAGCCAAAGCAAGTGTATGTGAATCAAGGTGTCGAATCCAGGGATAGACAACGGTTTTATCTATAGTTGTTGAAATATATCTTCATTTTGTTTTACAGACACCGTAACTGCACTCCTTGATAAATAAAATGATGACATTTTATCATTTTAAAAATTCCGACAACCAGTTGACATGCGTTCCTCTGATAATCTCTCTTCTGTTCACTATTAGACATGATGCTACCGTTTGGTCACCCCCTTTTAACAAATACATTGAGTCAATTGCCTCGTCCACCGCAAGGAAAATTTTTCTCCCCGGAATCGATCCTCCAGATCTACAAATCAACAATTCGCCCTTGCATGGAGTATTGCTGCCATATATGGTCTGGTGCCCCTTCTGTTTGCCTCGGAGTTCTTGATAGGCTCCAGAGGCGGATATGCAATATAACTGGCCCTGCTCTGCCATCTCGTCTACAGTCACTTTCTCACAGACGCACCGTCGCCTCTCTCTGTCTGTTTTACAAATACTTTCATGGCAATTGCTCCAAGGAGCTGCATTCGCTGGTCCCCAAACTTCATGAGTTTCAACGCCCTACGAGGCTGGCATCCCGCTCTCACCCCTTCACTGTCGAAATTCCTAAATGTAGCCGTCTCTTCTACTTTAATAGCTTCATATCTCGCACCTCTCGCCTGTGGAACTCCCTTCCCTATTCCGGTTTCCCTGAGAGCTATAATCTCCAGCTATTCAAGTGTAATGCCAATCGACATCTTCAGTTGCCTTGATCTATCCACTACCCTCATCCTTTCTTCTATCACTCCTATCTGATCTTGCTCTAAATTTTCTGTAAACCCTTGCGTCCTAGTGGCTTCCCGCCTTTCTTGGGGTGAAATGCTTAAAAATAAAAATAATAAAAAAATAATAATAATAAGGCTATCGAAGAAAAATTTGCAGTCTCTAGGCTGCAGTGTTGGGTGTCTTAAGAACTCTAACAAGAGACGACACGGAAAGTAACAGTAGCAGACAGTATAGGAGAAAGATAACTCTATACTCAAAACCGTGTAGCAGGTAACGCAAAAGAACTCCAGCATCTTTCAACAGAAGTCAAGGTAATTCACAAAAAATAATAAAAAGGTATCTGGGGAGCCATGGTCGATTATCATTAAAATATTCACTCAACCATCGGATACGCCAGATAAAACACATCCGGCATTTATTTCGACCATTGCAGACGACACTTTATTTAAAGGAATATGTAAAATACACTCTCTAAAATCTATTTTAAACAGACATCCTTATGCAAATAAATTGAAACAACAGCTTTAGTTTCCGTTCTTTAACCATACAATTAGATTTAGACACAATAGACTGACAGGGCGTTAACCGTTTCTATATTTTCCTCAGATTAGGTCATTTGCAGTGGTGTGCAGTAATATGAATCTATTTTCGGGGTGCGTGATGAAATTTATTTGGCCTTGAAAAATATTGCGTCATCCGTGATTGCATCAGATTTTTATCACACCCAGACACTACTGTCTCGACTGTCGATTAGTTGTCCTACGGCCATTGTCTGCGATGGAAGCGTAAGGAAAATTGTTACGCTGTACGAATGCACTGGCAAGCCTTACCAGTGAGCAAATCAAAGTACTATCGAAAACTCTCCTGATTTAAATCCAATCGAGAATCTGTGGTCAAATCTGCAAGGAAGGATTTCATCGAATGGAAATACGAAGAGCCAACATGCGCACTAGGTCATGTTTCATTGGGAAAATACGAATAAAAAAGTAAATAATAACAGAACTATTCCTTTCCTTTCCATTAATTTGCACAAGGGTGTATATGTCTACCATTCGTCTACACATTGAGTATTGCTGTCACATCTGGTTTGCTGCTTTTAGTCTGTATTTAAAGATTCTATATAGAATACAAATCTGCAGTGTTATCGGTCCTGACCTGACAACTCGGCTTCAGAAATATCCCCCCACGCCATAACATAGCTTCCCTGTGCCTTTTCTATATATACTTTTATGATAATGGTTCTGATGAACTTTCTTCACTCGTATCTAGATTTTACAAATATAAGCGCAGTAATAGATTGACAGCTGTGTCTCATCATTTTACACTTGAAATGTGTCTTGATGTAACCTTAAATTCTACATTAATAGTTTCTTCTCGCGATTTACGCTCTTGGAACTATATTAAGGTTTCTTGCAATATCAATCGTATATCATCAGTCTTAATTCTTGTTCTTCTATTGTTCTCAATTCTTAATACAGTAGAATCCATGACAAACGGACTAAGAAGGCTTTCCAGATATGAGGAATTGGTTACAAAGTCCGGATATGAGGGATTCCGGATATGAGGGATTCCGGATATGAGAGATTCCGGATATGAGGAATGGTTACAAAGTCCGGATATGAGGGATTACGGGTATAAGGGATTCCGGATTTGAGGGATTCAGGATATGAGTGATGCTTACAAAGTCCGGGTATGAGGGATTACGGGTATAAGGGATTCCGGATATGAGGGATTCCGGATATGAGTGATGGTTACAAAGTCTGGATATGAGGGTTTATATTTAGATTAAAATAAAAAGACTGAAATCAGGTTTAACATTTATTTACAGTGTTTGATCGTAAACAAAATAAACGAATGGCGAGTGAAATATAACGGAATTGATTTAAAGGAAAAAAGAAATAAATTATGCAATATTAATGAATATTCATTAAATTAAGTATGCCACGTATGCAAAACAAATAATGTAACGAGGATTTTTTTTAATCGCTGTTGCATGATGATTCTTTCTCTTCTAATGTCATTCTCAACTTTTCCCGCATTTTTGCTTTGCTTTTGTTCGTGAAATTTTTAAAACGAAATACACTTTTTAATTCTGCGTGCGTTATTGCAATCGTCATAGCTGAATGCTGGCTTTCTTTCCATAAAACTGACAACATTTTCAATAGCTCTTTCAATTTCAGTACAGGTTTCATCAAAATCATGCGTCTCGTTGCTATCTTTTTGTAGATATTGTCATCCTTTCCTCTTATTCCAATCGTCATTTGACCAATACAAGTCATTATGGTGAAATAAACATAAGCAATTATCCAGAGTAAACTTACGGCAAAACAAACATTTCAAATCAATTACATATCACCTAAATATTTCAAATATACACATCAAACTCATGTCCGGATATTCGGGATTCCGGATATGACACATTCTACTGTTTTGTTTTTCTTTTTCTCATATTCTTTCACACCCAGTAAACGCCTTGCATCTTAGTTACTTTATTGCCTTGTTAGAGTTGAAAGGATTAAAAAACGGATTGAAAAGGGAGGAAGGAATTATGAAGTTGCTTGAAGGTATCTGCACAAAACTGTAGAAAAGTTGTTCAGTGAAGTTAATGTTGGAAAGTTATAAAAGGAATTCGATTATTTTTATTTAATAAGCCGAAATACTTTTTTTTTTACCTTAACAATTAATAGTAATATTAATAATAGATAGGTCGGGTAAGTGACAACCTGCTGGACACTCATATCTAAATTCGAGGACCGCTGTGGCTTGGCAGACGTTCAAGCAGTTTTATGGAAAATTCAATTATCAGGAGGTTTCCAACCGATAAGTTGTAATTTATATATATATATATATATATATATATATATATATATATATATATATATATGTATGTATGTGTGTGTGTGTGTATACCCCATAAATATATATATTTATATTGTATATATATATATATATATATATATATATATATATATATATATATATATATATATATACACTCACATATATGTCTTACTTGAAACGTTATTATATATATATATATATATATATATATATATATATATATATATATATATGTTACATTCGGACACTCTAAATACCATGGTACGGATAGACATGAATAGATATTAATAATAATAATAATAATAATAATAATAATAAGAAGAAGAAGAAGAAGAAGAAGAAGAAGAAGAAGAAGAAGAAGTTAAGGCGAAAAAGTTAAAGAAGAAAAAGAAGAGGAGGACGAAAAAGATGTAAAAAAAGAGATGTGCGTAAAGAAAATACGGAAGAAGAAGAAGAAGAAGAAGAAGAAGAGTAGGAAGGGAGAAGATGATCATAGCTGGTGAGACGGAAGAAGAGGAAGAAGTAGAAGCACAAGAAGAAGAAGAAGAAGAAGAAGAAGAAGAAGAAGAATAGAAAGTTAAGGCGAAAAAAGTTAAAGAAAAGAATTGACGAAGAAAAAAAAACAAAAAAGAAAACGTAGAAAAAAACAGAATTATATAAAGAAAACAAAGAAAAATGGAAGCATTCAACAACGATTATTATTAATTCGGTAAAATCATAACAACAAAATGAATAATTATTATATCTCTATCTATAGCTATAGCTGGCTAGTCGTATTCAAGGATACCCGTCTGCTAGGCAGTCCATGTTGCAGACACCTCTTCAGGCACATTTGTGTTTGTTCAACACCCACAGAGTCCACCTGCGGTTTATACTGCAACTGTACTGAGCAGACCTTAGTTACAGATTCTGGGAAAGAGCGTGTTATCTAGAGAGACCAACAATATGATCAAGGCCAGAACACTCAAAGCCTCAGTCACAATGACTTGTGACTTCGTGCTAGCACGGCTATCGACGAACCCCCGAGGATACTGTCTACCTAATTTCACTAACAAGGCTTGGTTCAAACCGTGGTATGGTTTTCAGTCACTTTCCAAAGGTGCGGCACGCTGGGACCGATCCCTTCAGTCCGATAACACCAGGAAGTGTCTTTCCTGACAAATTGATCACGTTGAGATTCGAACCCGGGTCTCATGGCCAAAAAGAGAAAGTTCTAACGACTCGGCCACGTGTTCATTACAATAATGGAAAATTAATAATAATAATAATAATAATAATAACAGGCTTCTATATCTGTCTATATCTCTGAGATGAGGTATTATGAATATTTACATTATTTACATTATTCAGACTGTTATCCTTTTAGTCTTCATGGCCATTTTCACAACGTTTCGGTCGTCGCACGCTCCGGCCTTCTTCAGATGACTGGAACTTAGAACCGAACCCTTTATTTCGTCCACCGAGGTAGATTGTTCTAGTTCCACGTGCCATGCCACTTCCGGGTGTATCAGTTATTTCTCTTTAACTTAACTCTCCAAGTTTTTGGTTCACCCCTGATGTGGCCTGGTACTGAACTCATAACTTTTTCTCAAGGATCGCCCAGTGGATAAAGACGTTGGTTAGATCCAGTGACTAGACCCAAAGTGTTGTGAGTTCTATAGCAGACCACAGCAGACGACACCCAGAAGAAGCATGGCACGGGAAACTAGAACAATCTACCACAGTGGATGAAATAAAAGGGATAACAAACAATCCGAATAATGTAAATAATAGGCTTTTTACGAGTTTCCCGACTAAGAAATGCCCCTGTAAATTCCTCAATTGTATCGTTAAATATTTGAGCTTGATAACTTCGACCAAATGTTGTAATAACATTCTTAAGTGTGCATGCTGGTCATTTTTTAAGGAAGTAAGGGTGTACAAATGAATAGTTTGGACATTGATTTTCACCGAAGGAGACGCGAAGGATGGGGGTGTTATCGCCTCCTCTAAATTCTCTGTCAACAGCGTCTCCGATATGTCTTTTCCGTCTTTCCTGTGTGATCACAACGGAATAGGTTATAATTTATGAGGTGTCAGACCATAACGTAAAATATAACTAATGAGAAAACTAAGAAACAAGCAGTATCATATTTATTATATGATAATTAAAAAAAAATGGTCATATAATATAATAAAGCGATGCTTGTGTGCATGAAGAAACTTGCCATTTGGTATCCATCGAGAGCCACCAGATCCTACTGGTAGGCAGTCTCAAATATTACATAGTAAATAAAACGCAATGAGAAGTATAGAGTAGAATCCCTCATATCCGGAATCCCGCATATCTGTAGTGTTTCATATACGGAATCCCGCAAATCCGGACAAGATTTTGATATGTATATTTGAACTATTTGGGTGATATGTAATTGATTTGAAATTTCTGTTTCTCAGGAAATGTACTTTGGATAATTGCTTATGTTTATTTCACCCCAATGGCTTGTATTTGGTGCAAAAGATGATGGGAATAAGAGGAAAGGATGACAATGAGACACATCTGCAACAAGATAGCGACGAGATGCATGATTGTGATGAAACGTGGAGTGAAATTGAAAAGGCTATTGGAAATGTTGTTAGTTTTATGGAAAGAAAGCCAGCATTCAGCTATGACGATTGCAATAACGCAAGCAGAGTTAAAAAGTGTCTTTCGTTTAAAAAAATTCATACAGAAAAGCAAAACGGAATGCGGGAAAAGTTGAGAATGACATTAGAAGAGAAAGAATCATCATGCAACAGCGATTAAAAAAATCCTCGTTACATTATTTGTTTTGCATACGTGGCATAATTAATTTAATGAATTTTAATTATCATTACATAATTGATTTCTTTTTCCTTAAAATCAATTCCATTATATTTCACTCACCATTCGTTTATTTTAAAAACATTGAAAATAAATGTTAAACCTGATTTCAGTTCTTTTATTTTAATCTAAATATAATGCCTCATATCCGGACTTTGTAACCAATTCCTCATATCCGGAAGACCTTCTTAGTCCATTTTTCAGGGATTCTACTGTGTTTAAAATACATTTGTGAATTTTTTTTTTTTTTGCATATGGCACTTCTTTTAAATGGTTTTGTTCGGTAAAGTGTGTTCGTCTCCAAGACGTCGATGTTAATTCTTAAAAGACCATTCAGTAAAGATTCTCACAGACATCTTGAACCATCTGTTGGACATCTGTTTGTGAAGGAAATATTTTCTCTCTCTAGGTCCTACGAACAAAACCTCTTTTCTGTATTAAACACTGAATAAACAAGACAAAAAGGGCATAAAAAAAAAACTAGGATAGAAAGAAAACCTAAGAAAAACAGGAAGAGTAGAAAAACAAGACAATGAAGAAAAGAAAGATATAAGAGAAGGACAGCGGAAAGAGTGGTGTGATTAAGAGAGGAAAAGGAAGATGAGGAATAGAGAGGACAGAAAAGGTGTAGAGAATGACAGAAAGGGAAACAAGAGAAAGAAGAGAGAGGAAATAAAAGAAAAGGCTAAGAAATGAGAGGAAGAGAAAAGTGTGGAAATAGAAACGACCAGAAGAGAAAAGGAGAAGAAAGGAAGAGAGAGAAAGTGCGGGGGTAGAAGAGAAAAAAAAGAGAGAGAAAAGAGAGAAGCAAAAGAAAGAGAGGGAAGTAAAAAAAGATAATATGAAGGTTTAGAAAGGGGGTGATAAGAAAGGAAGAATAAAAGAGAGAAAGTGAAGATAAATCGAACAGAAGGGAGAAGAATGAAATGAGAAAAGAAGAGAGAAGCGGGGAAAAAAATTAAAAGCGAGTGATAGAGAGAAGAGAGGAGGAGCGAAAGAAGATGAAAGAGAATTGTAAAGAGGGAAGGCGGTTAATAGGAAATGAAAAGAATGAGAGAGTAAAATACGTACGAAGAGAAGTATTGAAGAAAGAAGGATAGAAAAAAAGGAAACGAAAGAAATGTGAGATAAAGAAAGAAAATCGAGAAAGAGAGAGATAGATAGATAGATAGAGAGAGAGAGAGAGATAGAGAGAGATAGAGAGATAGATAGATAGATAGATAGATAGAGAGAGAGAGAGATAGATAGATAGAGAGAGAGATAGAGAGAGATAGATAAAGATAGATAGATAGATAGATAGAGAGAGAGAGAGAGAGAGAGAGATAGAGAGAGAGAGAGAGAGATAGAGAGAGATAGAGAGATAGATAGAGAGAGAGAGAGAGATAGATAGAGAGAGAGAGAGAGAGAGAGAGAGAGAGAGATAGAGAGAGAGAGATAGATAGAGAGATAGAGATAGATAGATAGATAGATAGATAGAGAGAGATAGATAGAGAGAGATAGATAGAGAGAGATAGAGAGATAGATAGATAGATAGATAGATAGAGAGAGATAGAGAGAGAGAGAGAGAGAGAAGAGAGAAATAATATAGGAAAAGAAAAGAGAAGAAAGGCCATGGCAGAAAGATAGCAAGAAATACAAAGGGGCGGAAGGGAAAGAAAAAAAAGTAGAGAGAAGAAAAGAAACGAAAGAAAAAGGTAAGGCTAGAAGACGAATGGGGGGGAGGGAGAATGCAAACAGAGTTTTAAGATGTCAAGAGATGAGGAAGAAAGAGAGAGGAAGAAAGAGAGAGGAAGAAAGAGAGAGGAAAAAAATTCGAGAGAAACAAATATAAATTTAAATAGAGAAGGTAGTAGATGATTGAAAAAGAGGAGAGAGAGCAAAGGAAAGGAGGACAGAGAGAGAGGGATAGAAAGAAAGTTAGAAGAAAGGAATAGTGTGTTAAAGAGAGGGGGTGAAAAGAAGGAGAAGAGGAGGTAAAATAGTAAATAAGGGGAGAAAGGAAGAGAAATGAAAAAAAAGAGGAACGAAAAGGAGGAATGATGTAAAAAAAAAGGTGGT